ACAGGATTAATATGAGGAAATTGGCTAAAATTTTTTGAGTGCTGTCCTGCCTTGACAGTGGTCCAGCTCATAGTCATGTCCATCAGTACTCTCCTATCTACGCTGTATCTGAGATAACTGACCAAGGAAAGAAAATTCTTAATTCGTTTATTCAGAGCTTATTCAAAGACAGTGCTGCCAAATACTTACAGTACTATGCCAGCAAAAATGATCTTGGTTTTGATTAGTTATTTACCTGAAGAGAGAGATTTTCTACCTTGAGTATTAGATTGTTTGTTTACATTTTCATTTGCCCTCAAGTAGTCATACATTCAGAGGAATAAATACATAATTTCTAAACCAATACTGTAATTATAGGTAATGAACTGTAATAGAGCTAGAATAAAAGAGTGAGAAATCAAGACACATTCTGTACCTCTTTGAATGACTATTTTTTTAAAATCTCAAATTGATCAGTCTTAAATTAATGTTACTATGTTTGTTTTTACATGGAGAAGAGGGCATACCTCACCACTGAAGGCCTTCCTGGCTTCCCAAGATCCTTTTCCAACTTTTCCTCTGCTCCAAATGTTCAGGTTTGACCTGACAAAGCATTTAGAACTCAGAGTCTTGTAAGAGAACTCCTAAATTTCTGAGGCAAATAACCTTCCGATCCTTTAGGAAGTCCTAAATGAACTACACATATTCATTAAAATACATTTAATGTTGAACATCATCATAAAAAAATTCTTCACCCTCAAACACAAGGATACAAAATGAATGGAGTATTCTATTTTAATGGAGTAAAAACTGAATTACAGATCAATTCCTGTGTCTTTTTAAATGACTCTTTGGGATATTTTGCCCATGGAAAACATTATATTTGCTCCTTCCTAGAAGCAGCAGAAGAAATAGAATAACAATTTGTCATTATTTGTTGGAAAAGGGTTACCTGGCAGTCAGGTCCTTGTACCTTTATGATATCAGTAAACTTTACTAGGTAGTGGAAATTTGTACTTTCCATTAAAAGTACAAGACTGGAACCAAAGGTCAGTCTGTTGTGCTTACTGAGTGCTTTTCCACTGACATTTGTGGTATTGGATAAGCATTTCTAAATCTTTTGCTCCTTACTATTGTTCTGTGTGGACACTTCTGACATCATAATTGTTCTAAAAACACTTCTAGCTATACAATCATGGAGGAAATCCCCCCTTCTTGGCCCTTTTGTAACATTGCTATATGCACTGTAGTGGTATTGTAGGTTGACTCCAGTGAGCTACTAAGCACCACACAGCTGCTTGCTCACTTACCCACTTTTCCCTGTGGGACAGGGGAAGAGAAAAGGAAGAAGAAAAGCAAGAAAACTTGGGGGCCAAGATAAAAAAGAAATTAATAAGTGAAGCGTAGGTGGAAGAAGAGAGAAGACAAAATAAAAGAAGTGATGCAAAGGCAACACTCACCACTTCCCACAGGTAGAGTGATGCCCCCCCAGTTCCTGAGAAAAAGAAGGCTAACCCCCCTCTAAAACTTTTCATTGCTAAGAATGATGTCATATGGTCTGGAAAATCTCTTTGGTTAGTTCAGGTCATCTGCTCAGTTGTGTTCCCTCCCAATGTATTGTGTACCCCTCCAATCTATTCACTTGAGGCGCTGAGAGAGAAACAGAGAAGGCTTTGATGCTGCCCAAACACTGTTCAACAAGAGCTAGAACATTAGTGTGTTACCAGTGTTTGGGTCAAAAATATAAACCACAGCACCATATGAGCTGCTGTGAAGAAAATTTATTCTATCCTAGCCAGGTCCAGTACATGTGGGCCTGACTTTTCAATGTTTCACCTAGGAGTGGCACTTAACTGTGGAAAAGAAAGCAACTCTGGTTATAGTGAACTAATTGATAAGGTAGAATATGCAAGTTTCTGAATTATATGCAAATATACTCAAGGAAGAGAACAAAAAAACACCATAGAATTTGGGCTGCTCAGTGTTTTAGCTCTCCATTAGCAATTTAAAATTGACTCTTTTTTCATGCATCACTAAAATAGGTCTATGTTTTAGTAATCAAGTTTTTACACTACTAAGTGCAAAATCTCATGGATTTGCATGATATTTCCTGTATTATTGCAGCCTTGTGGTTGGAAATGAGAGAGATGGAAGAAAATTGTGGATTGGTTCATGTGAAAACAACTGCTGCATTTGCAGAAATTCTATTACACAGCAATGCTCTGTATTACTGGGTGTGTGAGTCTCTGAGGATACATATAGGTACTTTCTATAGCACATAGTATACTAACAGTATATGAAAAAACAATTGGCTGGAACATGTTAGTGAAGAACAGTGAATTCTAAAGCTTTTTTATTAACCCTTGTAGGATGTTTTTTCTAGTGCTTACGCACACTAGGGAGGACAGGTTCAGGCCTTTAATCATGAATGCAGCCAGTTACCCACACTGAAAATCACAAACAGAGGTCTTGGGGCTAACTGCATCACCAGAAGTCTTTCAGGTATTACAAAATCAATGACAGTAACAATTAACTGTATTTGTTAGATCAGGTATGAAGTAATATAGCATACATGAAATCTGAATCATCTATTTCCACGAAATACATTGGTTTTCAAAAAAACCCTTCTATTGGATCAGTCAGCAACCATTTCAGAAAATACCTCCTTATTTTCCTGGGTGTTCAGTTTTATATATCTGAAAAAAAAGACCTTCTCTTTAAAAGGTTTTTTACCATTATATCTGGTTACATGGATCTTGTAGTGTAATGCAATGAAATGTAAATCATTGGATGCAGAAAGCAAAACAAAGGAAAAACAAGCTGTGAGCAAAGAAAAATATAGCATGGTAAGCAATCTGTATCCTACCTACAGATTGCAGGTATACTAAGTCTGCTAGCTAACTGCTTAGATTCATAGCAGGGTGACAGATTCATGCTAGACAGGCACATTTTTCTTTTTAACCACATTTCTTTTTTTTTTATTTTGCACTCCTTCCTGATATGCTACAGCAAAATTATATTCTGAGTCTCTTTCTCTCTCCCTGTGACATCTTCATTGCTGCTTCATTAACCAGTACACCATCAGTGCATTTCATTACAGCTTCTCTCCTGGCTTACTGTGTTGATGCTATGATGCAGCTACAAACTGGCTATCAAAATGCTAGTCTGTGTTTTAATCTTTCCTTCCATTCAAAAGAGGAGGAAGTAATTTCTTTGGCAAAATCCTAAATAAAGCCCATATCTTATCTATTACCCTTACTGACCCACCACCCTGAAATGCACTGGGGAGGTACAGTGTGAGATGTGACTGATTTATTTACCTATTTGTTTACTGTAAAAGGCTGGCAGCATGCATCCTATCCGATCAATGTATTAAGACAATTTAGACTGATTTTATGCATGTGCCTTCAACTGACCTTGAAAAAGTATTGAAGTTAATGAAAGCATGCTTCAATTCCATGATTGTTAGGAAGTGAAAAGGCCATGCTGTGATAGATATCTTCCGTGACATATACCTCCAGTTATTCCAGTAGGGAGGAGACATGATTTAAATACTAGCTGGTTTCCAATGGGTTTCGTGGGTTGAGAATACACTCAATTCATTTTTAAGTGAAGAGAAAGATATAACTGCAAGTATGATAGAAGCAGATAAATTGGTACCAGAACACAGAGGAATCAAACAAGCATATTTAGAATCTCCTATGTAGACATTAAAAGGGAAATAAGAAACTCGATGGCCTCTTCAGAGCAGTTCAAATGTTAAAAAATGTGGCAGTGTGGCTGGTGTGAGCTTTTAGGGAGAACGAGACTAAGGATGTTGTCAGTCCCTTTCCATCCATCCACTGTCCCCTGCCAATTCCAGCCCTCCCTGCTATGCTCTGTCAGAGCTCTCTACCAGTGCTGCACATTAGACAGCTGTGAGGCTGCATCTGTTCTCTGTTTTTCACATGGTTAAGGCAAAGAGAAAAAATATAAATAAGACAAATTGCTCTGACACTAAATTCTGTGATAAACTGTCTCTGAAGTTCATGATTTTGTAGGAACTTGGTGCAGGAGTTTGTCTTTTTTAAAAATGTGATTTTGCAGGATATTTTTATTACTATTTTTAAATTAGTGGCCCTATTTTTCTTCTAAACACACAAATGCTTTCTGTTTTGCACATATCACTTTTTGGTTTGGGGAAGAAGGTGTGAAAAAAGAAGTGAAGTGAGGACCAGGAAATGCATGCCATACTAGATACAAAGACAAACCAATAGCTAATCTGTAAAGGACTATAAGAAAAGACGGTGACTCCTCTTGCATTAATTGAGGTACAGCACACAGTATATATAGCTGTTGACGTAAAACTCATTAAAATTTTAATTATTCTATTATTTATATTGTAGTTGTGAATGAAGCTCACAGTCAAGAACACAGACCAATGTGTACTCATAAAAGGAGTAGGGAAATTAAGTTATTATTATTAGATTTATAATGACATGGACTCTGAGCGTGGTCAGGCTGGCACCACCATGACAGCACCCTGACAGTGGACTCCAGGGGCAGCAAAAATAAATGAATGTGTCTCTGATGGTGGAAGACAGAGTCACTTTGCAGAGAGAACATTCAAGCAAGAGTACTTCACTCTGAGATGAGAAATGATCAGTGAAAGCAACATACAGACTGGAGGATGACATGGCTGTGTACCATAGTTTGTGCAGTACTTCATTACATACTCATCACTTACAGGCATAGTAACAGAAGTAGATTTCATGCTGAAGAATAGTGTGAATGTCTGGGATTGAATCTAAAGGCCAGTGTAAAAGCCTGGCAAAGAAGAATTAAGTAATAACTACTTGGAAAGAAGAGGAAAATAGACACTTCTGGTTTGTTTTACTGAGTACAGAGTTATAATTTAATTTCTAAAACCAAAAAATTCCCTGTGACTCTGAAACATGATAATTTTGGTCTCAGGTGGGAATGATGGGTTTTGTATTACATATCTCAATATATCTTTTCTTCTTCCCTTCTTTCTTTTTCAGGTTACCTGTGCAAACTTAACAAATGGAGGAAAAACAGAACTTCTAAAATCAGGAAGCTCCAAATCCACACTAAAACATATATGGACAGAAAGTAGCAAAGACTTGTCCATCAGCCGACTGCTGTCACAGACTTTTCATGGAAAGGAAAATGATACAGATTTGGACCTGCGATATGATGCCCCAGAAACTTATTCTGAGCAAGATCTCTGGGACTGGCTGAGGAACTCCACAGACCTGCAAGAGCCTCGGCCCAGAGCAAAGAGACGGCCCATCGTCAAGACTGGGAAATTTAAGAAAATGTTCGGCTGGGGCGATTTTCATTCCAACATCAAGACTGTGAAGCTAAATCTGTTAATAACAGGGAAAATCGTTGACCATGGCAATGGGACGTTTAGTGTTTACTTCAGGCATAACTCCACTGGTCAAGGGAATGTATCTGTGAGCCTAGTGCCCCCTACAAAAATAGTTGAATTTGACTTGGCACAACAGACGGTGATTGATGCCAAAGATTCCAAGTCCTTTAACTGTCGAATTGAGTATGAAAAAGTTGACAAGGCTACCAAGAACACACTCTGCAACTATGACCCTTCAAAAACCTGTTATCAGGAGCAGACCCAGAGCCATGTGTCATGGCTCTGTTCTAAGCCCTTTAAAGTAATCTGTATTTACATTTCCTTTTATAGTACAGATTATAAACTAGTACAGAAGGTGTGTCCTGATTACAACTACCACAGTGACACACCCTACTTCCCATCAGGGTGAGGACCGACATGTGTCTGAGACTGAAGCCTGGGGAATAAAAAAGGTCATATGACAGGGCTGTAACCTCAAGGAGGAAGGCCACATCTATTGCCTGGAATGTGTCTACCTGCTGATGATGATGTCAAATGGCTGCAAATATGTTAGTGGAAAACAATCTAATGTAATTTTTGCCCAGACAGCTCCATGTATCAGTCTAGTCATAAATCACTATGGATTTGAAATAAAACCATACACATACACAGAGACACTCTTTTCAGCTCACATCTGTTGAGATTCCTGTTAAGAGAGCGTTCACTGTCTGATATCTAAGGTTTCAGGATAACCTATCATCAAGAAAAATGGATTAACTAGACAGAGAATGGTTTCTAATGCAGACTGTTATGGAAATCTCTTTGAAAGTCCTTTGAGTATACGCCAATCAATAATCCTCACTCATGCATTCTACTGCTTGGAGTAGCTGTACTGGTAAATAATACTGTAGGAGTAAATACTTGTTAAAATGGGAAAAATGTGTGTCTAGAGTTCAGTATTCCTTATTATATGAACACAGCAAAGCATCGTGACTTTTTTCCAGCATACAGTAGGCACATTCGAGGTGGTGTTAGGTGGCTCTTTTTCCATGGAGCGAGCCTGTTACTAGTAAAGATGGGCAAACATTTGGAATTTACATGTGGGCAGACATTCTGGTTTCATGTTTCTCTGACTCTTTAAGCTCTGATTCTTTAAACCTGGTTCAGTTTAGGCCAGATAAGCTACTTAAAAACTCTCCAACTGATCTCTAAGAAGAAAAATGCCTGGCGGAGAACATGTAAGTTATAAGTGGCTGTCTTATCTTTATTACAAAATATTGTAACAAATTCAATATTCTAGTCTTCATTTGTATGAATGGTTTGTATTGTACATAATTTAACTAGTGTTATTTGAGCTGCTTATTAATATTAACTTGTAATTGTCTCTCTGCTTGTTATTGGTTAAAAACAATCAAGGAAATGAGGAATCCATTTTATCAATGTAGCTGTAAACTCCATTAAAAGACAGAACTATGTACAAAACATTTATTCAGCTAAAGTATTGTTGAAAGCTATACATATACAACATTACAGTCTGTCTGTATTTAGATATTTTATTTCCAGAGAAAAAAAAATGAACTGTACATAAAAATAAAAAATCTTAAAGTTGAGTTTCAATATGTACTGTGTAGATAGTAGTTTAAATGGTTCTGACAAGCGGATAACACTCCAAGTCTGACATGTTTTTCATTCTTGTCTCTTTGCATATGTACATATATATACATATATTCATAAATTTGTGTGTGTGCATGTTTATGCGTGTATATGTACGTGTGTGTGTGTGTGCAAATACATACAGACATATGTAGAATAGATGAAAATTTTTTAGGCCCTATTCCTAGCAAGCAGAAATTATTACAGAAGGGTCTTGCTAACTTGAGTGGAAGCCCCCACTTGGATAAGAAATTACAGGAGCAGGACATTGTTTAAAATGATTCATTATCATTTAGAACTGGGGAAACATGGAGCCGCTCTCTGTGTACACAGGCCTGTCTTTGCCTTAATTCTAGCCTCCTTCGAGGCACTGATATCTCTTTATGGAATTAAGAGATTCCTTTTTATGGTACAAGGGAATTTTCTTCTATAAACAAAATGCTCATAGCTTTTATATATATGTATATTTGTCTATAGTGGCATATTTTACCCCCAGCATCCAGATAACCAGCAACTATAACAAGTTCATGCCTAAAAGAGGGCTGCCCAAAGAAGAACGCAGTATTTCATCTCATATCTTTCAGAATTATCATTCCTGGCAAAGTTTTCTCCCCTCTCCCACCCTCACCCCCAGGTTCTGTGCTCTTGTGTCATAACTATAAATGAAGATATGGGTCAGCTTCCAAATGCACAGTTTCATGAGCAGCTTCTCCAAAGTTCCAATAAGTACTCCATTAATGTTTTAAGAAGTGAGATGTTTGAAACAACTTCTAGTTGTGGACCTCTCTTGCTGAAACGTGCAGAACCTAAAAGAGAATGAAACAGAGCAAATGGATAACATTATTGACAAGTAAATATTTTCCCACTGATGTAAGAGTAGGAGAGGAGATTTCCATATTATTATTGTTTTGGTTTCTTCAAACAGATATGTTTGTGGAAATTTCTTCATGATACATGACATTTTCTGGGACAAACTTGAAACTCTGGAACCTGTGTAGATTTGGAGAAAGAAATTGTCCATTCCATACAGTCCTGATCTGATCTCATTCAGGAATATACTGAGATGCATCTTTTTTTTTTTCTAGGACACAAATTGTGATTATATTGGTAGTTTCCTCTTTGTGCTCTATGGAAAGTAACTGTTCTGAATATGAACCACAAAATAATTTGTGCTATGACCAAGAGTAAAACCTTGGCTCTATTAAAGTCAATAGGAATTTAATTATTGAGTTCAATACAATTGTCCATTTAATAATATGTAGAATTCCAGTGTTAAATATGTTAGCAATCTCAGCAATCTGTATTATGATTGAGCATTACATGCTTTGTGTTCTCATTTATATTTCTGAAAAATGGATGTGAAATACTATTACTGGTACAGTTTCATTATTTTCTTTCTTTTTAAAATTTCCTATAAATATATGAAGTATATACATTCTGTTCATATATATATTTATCCACTTTTCAATTAACATCAATACAAAAAGGAATTATTCATCATACAGTTGTTCTGATACTTTTAGTTGTGGTAGTTGGTACTTTATCTGCCTCTGTCACAGTCAGTCATATTATTTTTTAGTCTTAAGCCTTTGAAGGACTTGCTAGTCTTCATAAGCATTCTTGAGTTTGAACTTGGAAGAGTTCTTTTGGTGATCTGGTTTCGATCTAATATCAAAATATATAATGCATTACTTAGGTGCTACTTAATTGCATTTCATTCAATCTCTGTGAAATATTTTGTGTTTGCTAACTTTGTTAAAGAATGTCTTTGGTTTGCCATTTGAAAAAGGAATTTAATGAACATGAATGTGTTAATTCAGTTAAACAATGTGTGCATAGGTATCTGGGGCTGACACATTAACAATGCCTTAATGGAGTGCTAGGCCAGGAAAATGTTGTCTCACTATAGTTCACTAATGCTAGACGTAATAAAGATGTATATTGCTAATGATATATTTTTAGGATTAAAGAAGATTGAGCTATTTACTTTTAAGAAATGAAGAGACTGGGTTTGTTCACTTTTTTTTTTTTTTTTTTTTTTTTTTAAAAAAAAACCACCACATTTAAAGCATGTTTTGTGCCTTATTTTCACTACATAAAGAAGTCATAACTAGGGATATTTCAATGAAACTAATTATTCCTGTTGCAAAAGTACATGGATCGTGTGCTTGAGCAAAGATCAATATATTAATCTTGCTTTGGGTGGGTCTGTGATAGAATTTATGTGTCAGCTTCCGTGCTTTTAAGTAAAGGAATCCAGAATATAGGAAACAGGTAGGTGGTTTTGCTTTGCAAAAATCATTGATCAAAGTTCTAAACAGTGATGGAAAGCTGGAAGACTTTCACTTGTTATTTTTATCAAAATACTTCAGGGACAGAAAATATACTTTCTTCCCTCCTTATGAAGTCACTTGTGAAGTTTTATTCCTTTCTCCCCCTTTCCCAAGTTTCCATGGATAGCAAACAAACAAATAAATTCATCTTTACACAGATCTGTCTTTCAAAGTTTCCCTTAAAATGTATGATGTCAGAAACTGCTGAAATTTACTGTACTAACTGACAGTGAAATATTCAACCTGCATTTATAGGAGAGCAGAATGGAAATCTTGTAGTGTTCTGGTTCATGTTAGCCTAGAGATTTAAATAATACTAATCAAGGGATTTAGTCAAATGGCAGTTTTACTGTGACTAAATCATTACATCCTCATGTATTCTGAATCCTATGCTGTAACTTGGAATCCTCTAGAAATATCATAAACTACTCTGACAATGATGTGTTAGAGTATTGTGGAGGAAAAGAGGGATTACAAAATGCTACTTTTACAGCAAAACCGACCTAAAGCTTAGGCATGTGATCTGAAGAATTATTCTTCACCAGAAGACACTGAACCACAGTCTTAGCATTGTATGGGTCCTCCATGTCCTTCTGTGACAGAGATATTCAAATTGTATTCAACTCCATCTAGGAATGGAAGATAATATTGTCTCTAGTGAATTGTACTTAACTATGTGTCTAACATTGACAGGGACCTCAAATGGCTACATCAAGGACCTGTTGTGCTAGGAGATGCATAATACAGAAACATATACTATATCTATTCAGAAAGAGTTTTCGTGTCAAAAGCTGCCAATTCTCGAAACAGTGTACTCCATAATTCTTGTAAATCATGTATTTGTAAATTTGAGGCATATTGTCTATGAAATTAGTTTTCTTTTAAGAATATACATAGTTCTCAAAAAAGTACTATTTTAAATACTCATATATACATCAATGAAATACAGGCATCCCTGACCCTTTTCAAAACTTCTGATTCCACTGTATCAGTCTGCAAATAATAAGAAATGAAGCAAATTATTAATATTGTGCATGTATTAAAAAATAGAAACCTTGATTATCATTTATACTAAAGTTCTCTGATGAGTTACTTTGTTACCACTTTAGTGTATGAGTATGAATACTGTTTCTGAAAACATTTTGACAGTGGAAGCACAGACTATTGCCTAATAAAAAGTATTTTTCTTTTTTTTTTCCCCTTTTTTTTTTAAAAAAAAGAGAAGATAGTATCTTACTGAAATTATGTTAAAATTCACAGATTAATTAATTTTCTAGATAAATTTGAGAAAGTCAGTATCTATGGATAAGTTTAACACTTTTCGCTGTTTGTGAAAGGAGCACTCATTAAAATAGAACTGTCATTTGTAATGATACAGTAAATTGGAGAACTGCTGGAATATTTTATTTCCTCAGGCAGTACACACCTGATAATATGATCTAATACATGTTGCGTGATCCCTCCAAAAGGGTTAATGCATCCTGTGGCTAAAAATAAAATCTTTCAATTGTTTTCTATATTTCCTGCTAATTAGTTAAAGTACTATCACTACCCAAACTAACAAGGAGATCATTTTGTTTTGTACAGAAGTTTATTTTCTCATTTGAATACGTATATAATTTTTTTTTTTATTCTGTTTGAAGGGCACAGCTGGTGGATGTCTGCTTTTGCTTGGATTGATGTCCTGTGCGTGATATAAATAATTTTAATCCCTTTATTTTATTTTACCTTTGGGATAAAGAAACTAATGTAGTTTTTTTTGTAGGTGCTTTAGATCAGGAGCAAACCAATGACTCACTTGAACTTTAATTCTGAAAGCTATAGTCCCATTGTTAAAGGTAGGATTTGAGAAGATAGAACGTGTGATATTTATTCCTGATTTGAAGTGCACCTCAGCCATGTAGCAAGTAGAGATATTGCTATGATGGAAGGCTTTAGTGGTCTGTGAAATGAACTTTTACCTGTTAACAGAAAATTGGAGGGACCAAAAAAATTTTATAAAGTTGAAACTGTTCATACATGTAAGTGAAGATGTGGAAATCCTCAAAAAACAAATCAGATACTTTGTCCAATATTTTATGGAAAGGCTACTGAATTCCTGGGAAAAAAACAATGGTTTATGTACAAATCTGTTCATGATAAAAAATAATTAAAAGCAGAGTTGACAGAGGCATAAATAATGAGATGTTCAGTTTCTCATCTAGGTCACAGTGAATCTAAAATGAGCTGCAAAAGCCTACTTAGAAACAGATAACCTGAGGAAAAATGAGGTCACTTCTGGAACGTGAATAAAAAGTCATTAATTCTTACAGTATTCAATAGCTATAGTTGTGGTGAAATATATTATGCCAAATTTATGAAACATCTTTGAATTTCTTGGGTGGGAGTAGAGTATTTTGATTAGTCATAGAGTGAGGAAGTCTTGAGAATAAAGCTGGAATTTTTTGCAAGGAAATTTCAACAACTGCAACATACTCCCTCCAGTGGCAAATACTCTGGACTCCATTCTACTGGTTACATTTAGAATCCAGACTTTATTGCCGATAAAGCAGAAATAATAAGGCTTGACTGGTGAGGGACAGTGGTGATCTTGAACCCATGACAGTTTTATTTGGTTGGGTTTTTTTGGTT